CTTACAATTAACCCAAAAAGCTTTCAACCTCAGTGTGCAAAAAGAATGAATGATCTGGTATTGATTAATTTTACAGTTGGTTAGGTGTTTGTCTACTTGGAATAACAGTTGAACAATGTGATACAGAAGCCTTCAGGACAAATTGTTCATCATGGCTAAGAGGTCTTCTCCAGATAATTCAGGTAGCTTTTCAGGTTGTTTTCTTTGTCCTGTCTTTTTTTTTGTATTTTGTTTATGTTTTTGTTTTTTTTTTGGTTTTTTTTGTCTTTTTTTTTTTGGCTTTTTTTTTCCTATGGTTGTTTTGTTGACTTGGGTTCTCCATTCATAAATTTTTTCAAAATATTATCCAGAATTTTTGACATAGTTTTTCAATGCTTATAGACATCAAAAAAATCAAGTGTCCTTCAGTATTGCAGCAAGATCCTTGATAACATTTTAAAACATGCAGCAGAGGTAAGAGGATGCTTTTAAACAGTATTTTTTTAGCAAGACTATCAAAGACTATCACATTGTACACTTATTAAAAAAAATTGCAATTTGCTTCAAGTATACTCACCACTTATTATAACAATAGTTTTATTGTTCAGTTTTCAGAATTATCAAGAGAGTTGTCTAACTCAGTCCTTCCATCCATCATTTCAACCTTGTTGGCCAACAAATGTTCAGTAAGTGCAACATTAAAAGTAATGAACTTATGGAAAGAACAATACGTACAGGAGCAAACATTGCTTTGTTTTCATCCATGATTATGTCTGTAATTATTTGTAGGACGAGAGCTCAGTGTTGTTGATGCTATCTTCATGTATTCGCTATTTCCCAGGACCTTCAGGACCCTCCAGGGTAAGTAATTTTAATCAGGCTCTCATAAGTGCTGTAGCATGATTGACAAAGCAGTTAAAGACAAGTTATGACTCAGTAAGGGGCCCACTTTTGACAATGACCAGTGCCAGAAAACTCATGCACTCATCCTTGCAATACTGTAATGCCTTCCATAGCCAGTTCACACGTAATACAATAGTTAGATTATATCGTGCATAACTAATTCACTTCTATATATAGTAAGTCTTACTATCACAACATAGTTTTTATAGTTTTTTTTTTTCGGCCAAGTCTGCTGAAAGTATTGTCAAGGGTTGCAACTCTAGGTTTAGCTCAAGGTCACTCACATCTTTATGTCAGCTACACCTTTATTAAAATTTTATCTCTTTATTTTCAGAATCAAATTGAGAAATTTATTTTACCACCTTTAAATTCATTCTGCAATGAAACAATGAAGGTATGTTGTTGTGGTCAATTGAACATTTTGAACAGCAGGCAGGATTTTGGTTGATTTCATTCAGGCAACTTGCGCTGCATACTTAACAAACTTGGTCTTAATTTATGCTGTAATGAAGTAAAAAAATGGACAAAATTACCAACAAGAAAAGATCTTAAGACTTATTGGTAGACTTTATGTATACCACTCAGAAGCCTGAAATGAGCATCCAAGTGGAGAACTGGCAGTAACAGGAATTGTTCTTCCTGACGCCATTATATGTTGTAAGTCCAAAATATTAAAGATTTTTAGAGTTAATAATAACACCCAGATGAACAGTAAGCAACAGTTGTAAAGAAGACTTCTTTTTTGTTTGAGTGCAAGTTAAGAGAAACAAAAACATTACTGTGTATCTTTTTTTTGCCACAGGCTGCATGCAATTGCTACGCCTTGTTACCAAGATGTAGTCGCAGTGGGTCAGGTGACAAGCAACAGCTGTGTCCTTGGAATATACAATGGAACAAAGTGCTTTGTACAATTCATAAACTCCTTGATAGCGCCTACGAAAATGTTGAGCCAGGTATGTTGTTCAGGATAATTCTTTTCTTCATTTTAATTTATTGAAACAGTAAATTGTGAAGTTCATTTACTAATTTCACATCATTTACTCCAGTTGCCAACAAACCCTCCCAAGACTCAGAAAATGAATCCCTTCCACTTGGTGATGTTCCAGCCACAGAACCAGACCGAACACACACTCTCGTCATAAGGTTGAATTCATTGCTTCACCTCCTCTCAGGAATGATAAGGTAACTTGTTTCCCAGGGACACATGTATGGTGAGATGGACAGAACTTCACCAGGGTTTTACTGATGGTTTCTTTTCCCTTTTAATTTTAATCATATCCGTTGCTTTTGTCAATTTTTTCTAGGAATGTTAAATATATAATTCTCATAAAGTGATGAAAATATTTCCTCTGTCATTTTAAGGGAAGAACATCTAAAAGTTGTGGCAGTTCCTATTGATTCTACAATGAACCTTTTAGCTAGAATAATGAATGTGACCTGCAACTCACTGGTAAGAGTGAAAATTATGTATTGATTAAACTGCATGAAACAGTGATTTCATAGGAGAATGGTTATTTACCTAATGAAAGATATATTTTTCTAGAAAAATAACTTTTGGACCAATCAGTATTCAAGGAACTTTTTTTTGTATTAACATTGGACATGCATATTTTTAAGCTTGATTTAAATGTTTATTTTGCAGAAAAGTGCTGTTGTTGTGGAATCAGTGTTGTTGAGAGCAAGTTTACCATTAATTCATACAAATGCTGTAGATTTGTTAACCACACTTATCACAAGGTAAATTATTTAATGTTTTCTTTTTACCCAATTTGTTAAATATTATGTTTCATATATTTGTGAAGATACTAAGTGTTACTTGGTGGTGTTATTATATTGTCTTTATGAAACTCAGTTACCCGGCTACTTGGTAAAGTATTTCAGTCTTAAAAGGCAAGGTACCTTGATAGTATCCCAGACATAAGCAACCTCCTTAAAACATTTTCAAGTTATGCCTTAGAGACAACTTTGATTAAAAAAAAAAGAAGAAGAAGAAGAAGATGAAGAAGAAGGAAACTTTGAGATGGTGTTTAAAGTAATAGGGCCAGACTTTGACCAAGCCTTTTCACTCTTGGAACTAATCAGAAAGTAATTTCTAATATGTATATATTGTCTGGGAGAAAGGAAATAAGAAGAAAGGAAAAAAATTGGAATGGGATAATTGTTCGATTTCACACCAAACTGCTTAAAATTTTAAATGTATAACTGCAGATTAAAAGGAGAATTGCTTTGAGAGCTTGGAAATGAAAGGTTATACATGGCCTGAGCTGCATACTAGAATCCTGTTTAACTATATTTTCTTTCCAATGGCACAATAGGTGTAGAAATGTGATGCTTCCATATTGTGACTTGTTGATAAAGCTTCTGGTGCAAGAGCTTACATGGACTAAAACTCAAGACCCTGCTTATGGCTTCAACAAACCATACAGGTTAGAAAAATAATTGTGAAATCTTCATCCTGAACTTGGAAAAGTTAACTTTAATTTCCTGTTTTAGTATTATTTTGTGAAGGTTTTTTCATGTCATTTGTCATCAGCTACTTAAAATAAGTATCCTCCAGCAGTAGAAGGAATGTGAATATCTTGCAATATGAATTGGACCTAGAGAGCAGAGCTTAAGGAGTTTGCCAATGTATTCTGAATGATCTCTGAGGGATCTCTTGGCTGAGACAAAATCCTTCATCAGAATAACCAAAAACTACTTCTCTTACAAGATAGTTACCTCTTTTTTCAGGAAATTGAGGTGTTCTGTGTATCACTGCATGGAGCACTGGGTTCAACTGACAAATAGCCTGCCTGAGGAGGGTAGTGTGGGGAACAAATTGATGTCACTCATACTTGATGACATTAGGCCATTAACTTCTCAAACAAAGGTAAAATTATGAAACACTTGACAAGGCTTACAAATGGCATTGCAATTAACTTACACAAGTACGGAGCAATTGTGCTATTAAGATACAAAAACTATTTATGACTTGAAAACTTGACAGCCTGTCTTCTTAAAATATTTATCAGTTCTCAAAGTAGTCTATTCTTGAGTCAATCATTTTTGGGTGACATCACCTGTCATGTGTATAGATAATCAACTGACTAATAGTATTTGCAATCTACCTGTGAATGAAAGAGTAGATTCCCTGGGCTGTCATTCAGTTTTAAAGCAGTCATTACATTTGGGATATTGTGATTCACTTCTTCACCCATAATAGTGAGTGAGCTCAGATGTAACAGGTGTTACAGGTTACAGCCCTAATTGACAGCCCTGGGATGCAAGAAAACATCCAAAATAAAAAATGAGTCATTCAAAAATTTAGGGATTAGAACATTAATCAAAACTTAAAACAAAATTCTCAAAAATGATTGCTTATCACCAGCCCTATTTGAGCACTGACAGGACAGTGGATGTGTCATGCTTGTAATTGGACAGAGTAATAGGAAAGTTGACATGACATGCCTGTGTAGGTGGACAGCACATGTCATGTGCATGTGCTGTCGCAGTGTATTTTGCCATGTTATCTGTTGTTTTTGTTTATGAAAACATATAACCTATATCTAGTTTCTTTCTCAAATGTTGTCATTATTTTTGAGTAACTGGTAACAGGACTTTGTTTCAACCAATTCTGTTTGTAACCATATTCCTGCGTCGCTGTTGTCAGATTTTTATCACTGGTATGATTCCAGACAGAATTAGACTCCACTCAGTCCTATTACCAGTATTTATTGTTATTCCTGAGTGAGATTGTGCCTTACAAGTTCCTTCAATTCTTTTCCTCTTTTGATCTGTAGTTGATACCAAATCCTAGCTGTGGAAATAAACAGCAGTCAAGAAAGGTACCATCACCAGTACAAATACAGAATAGAAAATGAAAATTTAAAAGTTCTTCGTGATAATCTTTTTTGTACTGGTGTGCATTTTTTTTTTTGGTAGGGGAAGAAGAGGAAAATGCAAGAGGATGTTGAGCAGTTACTTACAGGTTTTTGTTATAAAGTGCTACTGACAATTAGATTTTTTGTATGTGGTTTTCCTTCATGTTCTAATTGCTGACTGTGGGAATGTTATTAAAAATTACATGTCACCATTTCCAGTGAGGCCTGAAAATATTTTTACAGAAAACAAAGTCAAACTAAATAACAACCTCATGACTTCCTCTTTTTATTACCTTTTTTTATTACTAATTTTGATTACTATTTTCCACAGCAGCAGCAAAAAACTCTTTATTTTTCTATGGTTCAATGGTGTATAATTACACTCAAAGATTGTATTCTCCCATTTAGTTGTTGAAATTTAAACTTCAAAAAAACAGCAACAACAACAACAACAACAACAAATTCTGATACAAAAAGGGTTCAACAGAAATTCATGCAAGGAAAGTAACTAGCAATTGCTAACAACAATGCTTAATTTATGTTAAAGCTGTTGGGGGATTTATGCATGATAATTTAGAAGTCTCAATTTCTTCACATGAGAAGAACAGGTTGAATCTCTATTCCATAATTAAGCAGCATTAAAAAACATTTTCTGCTTTATTTCAACATGTTTACTGTTGCAAAATGTTAACTACTTTCATTCATGGGTTCACAGGTCAACAAAAGATTGATGAAAATGCAAATGAGAGTGTTACATGCAGAGCACTCAAAGGTGAAATAAAATTTAATTAGTTCATCTTATCTCAATAACAAAATTTTTAACTCTTCAACTCCCAAGGTTTTATTGTTAATTCTCCCAGCTATCTGCTACACATTTCCTATTAAATTAGTTACGAGAATTTGGTGTTAGATCAAGATTACATTGTCTACCCAATAAGTTGGAATATTCTCATTACCTTTATGCTGGATAAAGTATGGATATTTTAGTGAGAAGTTACATTTTAATCACTTCTGGTTGTTAAAAGGTTAACTGTGGTTTGACTAAACTGTGTTTTACATCAACACACTGTGGGGAACCAATTATCAGTAAACTACTCTAATTTATGGCCCTGAAGTTTAACATTGATTTTATCATCTTCAGCCTTATGTGCAGTATTGATTGCAGTTGGGAGTGACATTCCTCACAGTGCATTAAGGGTCAGTAACAGTAAATATGTTGCTTTTTGCTTCTAGAGATGAACAAATGATTCAATTTTCTCATCCTCATTTCAATTTTTCTTTAGGAAGTGCAAGTTGTCATTGTCAAACTGATCATTCAATGTCAGCAGTCTTCATTCAATGGTTTCCCCATACCTTACACAAGTGCATATTGTCGACAGGCATTGTATCATGCTCTACTTAATTGTCTGCTCACTAACTCTCCTTGTGTTCCACCACCTGTGCATCATGCTGCAAGATTGTTTAGTTTAGGACTGCAGGATAGTGATTTTAAGGTTGGTCAGTTTTGATTCAGTAAACATTTATTTTACTACAGCTGGAAATAAGAATTTGAGGCTTGTGAATTATCTCTCACAGGTTGAAAGCAATAGTAATTAAATCTTAGAGATCTAATTGTTGATTCTCCCCTTAGTAAAGGGCTAACACTCAAAATGGTAGCTTTGAAACTCTTAACAGAGGCCAATAATTGGCATAAATTATTTATGTTATAAACTCAGTTGATAATACTATATTACCTTGTTATACTCTTCCACCAATGCAGCACCACAGTTTCTTTAGAAACTTACCCCCTTTATAAGTGCTCAGCTGTTTTGAGTAGCCTGTCAGCACATACAAGACAAGCACTTGTGTTCATATTGGTTATTCACCAGTGGCTCTTAGATTGATTTCACTCTGGACAATGACGTCACAGAAAAAAACAGGCTATATCTTCCAATATTTCATAAAATAATTAGCAGTAACACTCTTTCCTAGGTATCAAGTTTCTGCCAAGAGGCCTTAGCTGTAGTTAATACCATCATTCACCCACGGATATTCCCACAAGTGTGTTCTGCACTAGGGCCTTTACAGCTTAACACCTCTGAGGAGCATGCAAATACAACAGAAATGGCCTCTTCAATTACATTTGAGCATGTTATGAATACAAACTGGCAAAGTCTGAGCGGGGAATCTGAAAGCAATAATGGAAATCATGCTGATTATTTATGGACAAACCAAATCCCTATGGAGCAAGGGGAATTTGGAGCTAGAGAAGGGGGAAGTATGGACAACAGTTTTGTTATAGATGTCGGGAATCAAACAGTACAAGAGTCTATACAGAATGAAACATCTTTTAATCAATCTGATAAGTCTTTTACTAGTAAGAGTGATAGGGAAAGCCAAGGTAACAGTGGAATAGATAAATCACTTGCTGATGCAGGAAACACAGCCAGCCAGATCTCAACCCAACCTCAGAACAATGAGTCAGGTCAAACTGTCTTATCAGAAACATTGCCTGATGAAGACTTTGGACCTTCTCCACAGTATGCTAGAATATTTGAGCCCAAGAGAAGGAAAACTGATACTGATAATTGCAGTTCAAAGGAGAGAATTTTAATCAACAACAACAGTACATTGCCCACAGCAAATAAAGATGAACTCACAGAAAGTGTTGCAAACAGTGATAATACCTCCTTAAATGAGGTAAGCTAGTAATCAACACAATAGTAATAACAATAATAATAATAATAATAATAATAATTAAGCAGGCTGCATTCCACAAGGTGGCTCTTCCTGTCCACTGTTTCCGAGGCAAATTGGAAGTTGGGATGTAGGTTTTTGCAGAGGGAGGAAACCCCAAGGACCTGGGGAAAAACCCACATAACAAGGAGAGGAACCAACAACAAACTCAATCCACATGTGACCCCAGGTGTGGGAATCAAACTCAAGCCACAGCAGTGGGAGGGGAGTGTTCTTACCTTTGCACCATGCCACTTTTTTGCATTTACTAAACCATTCATCTGTTCATTTCAAATGAGTTTTTTCTGAATGAATCAATTTTCAGGAGAATGAAAATGATGAAACTGCCCAGATGTTAGCTGCATTTGTAGACTCGTACCCAGACTCTGATGAGCAAGAATTTTCATGAGTGTTGCATTCATGTGCCTCCCTAGAAGACCCAGTTAGGCTAACTGTACCTCTACACAAGAATCATATGTGCAGAAACAGCAGAATACATCAGAAACTCAAATGAAATTTAATAAAGGAAGCTGACTTCAGTTTACTACACCAACAGAATACATGCTCAAGCTGTGTAATGGAGCAAAATTAAAACCTTGATGACATTTAGTCATTAATTTGTATAAAGGGAACTCAAAAAAGTAAACTTTTGCTGGAAATGTAACAGCTTCCTCCTTCACTTCCCTAAAGAAAGAATTTCCAGCTCACCCCGTTGTAGATCATAAGAATAATAGCTCGTAATATTTTTGATATTATTATTATTATTATCATTATCATCATTATTGTTATTATTACTACAACCAAATGCATCAAATAAACCACAAATTATTTTATTTATATCTCTCCTTCATCCTTTAACACCACTTGATATCTACTTTAATTTAGTTTACCAGTAATTTTTTTTATTATTACAAGTAATTTTGAAATAATTTTTTTTCCTTCTTATGCCCTTTAGGACACTTTAATGACAGACTTTCACCAAAACAAACACAGTTACAAGTAGGCACATTAGAGGGCATAGTCAAAACAAAATTTTCTGCAAACAAAACCTGCTACAATTTTGAGCCAAGAAATTTTCACAGTTTAACTTTTAAGTTTTAAAAAATATGTCAAAACAAATAAAAAACAGGAATGTCACTGTTTATTTTATGAAGGTATATTATCAGTGCCACTTTCCACTTCTTCGTTTTCACCGACAGTCCGTAGTAAATATGCATTAACAGTTCCTCTCTTTCTGTCCACCTCTGAAGTCTTTGTACTTGCCAGATCAAATTCTTTTTGTAAATTTATTGCAAACTGAAGGTCTTGTTCTTCTTGTTTTCTTCTTTCTTCAAGGAATTGTAGATTGCTCATGTTAAAAATATCACTAAATGTAGAACTTGATGAAAAGATGGAATCCTCTTTGTCTTCAGAGGAATTTTTTCTGAAATTGGATTTACCATGACTGCTTTTATTCTTTGATAATCCTGTTGACAAAGTAAATATAATAATTAAGATTATACATAGAGGAATTCTTGTCTGTAGAATTACCACACTTTTATTTCGTGGCTTGGAGTAAAAAATTTAAGCTCTTGAAGTGAATAATGTTCAATTCCAACTACATAACCTGTCCTCAAACTTTGATTGCCAGCAGCATGTTGTGATTTCTACTTTTAAAACTGAAAGACATAAATACCTGGATCTATGGTATTTATGCAAGTAAGGAAATTATGACTTTCAACTTGCCTGAGAAGAAAACCTGCTTTCAATATGTTGTATTGTCTTAAATAGAACCAGGCCTTCATTAAGCATAGTACTGGTAACTTTCCAAGGATGTAAATAATATTTGAATGGAATACCTTGAACATCACCAGGAGAGGTATGCCTTGTAGGAAGGAACCACCTGTCTAGTGTACTGTTACTGTGACCAGCTTGAGTACTCTGTCCTTTTATCTTTTTTCCTTTCACAATTTTATTCTTGTATGGGGTTGTTGATAGGCTTTTATTTTTAGGCAGCTGTCCCATTGAGTTCTGTAGAAATCCAAAGAGCAATAACACAAAGATTCCAGTGATTAGCTTCAAGCTAAACTTCAACAGGAAAGAAACTTCTCAATGATCCACTATGCTCAAGCTACTGTATACTACTCACCTGTCCTTGTTCCTCCTTTATCATTTTTCTTGCAAGTTCTTCATCTTGTAGTCTCTGGTATTCTAGAGACCTCATTAATCTCTGTTCCTCTTGTTGTAATTTGTAGATAACCTCTTCACTTGCCTTCATTTCCTCCTCTCTTGCTACTTTCAACTAAGACAGATATTTGAAAATGACATCAGATAGGGATTGGACATTCACTTTGTCTGAGGCATAAATGACTGTTTGTGATAGAAAGGTCATTACATTAGAGCTCCAGACAACTGTCAGTCATTAGGCAACATCTGCCTTAAATTGGCACCCCTTCAATTAAATTTCAACTGGGGTTAGACATTATGTCTATGTAAATTTGTTCACCAACTGGTTAATAAAATAGAGATTCAGATTTGTTACAAGAAGAAATTTTTTTTTCTAGTAGCTTTGACTTGTGTTAAGAATTTAAAAGATATTAATAATGCCAGAACACATTGTTCCATCCTTTAACCTAACTTTAGGCTTAGTCAGGGATAAAATAATTTGTGGATTGGTACATTAGAGAGATTTTAAAGCTGTGTCAAGGATTAGCCCTTCATCAGAGCAAATCCAATTAGCTCCCACAGAGTGCTTGACAGTGCTCCCTATGTCAGCATTAGAATCTCTCTGCAGAAGCCACAATTCACGTTATCAACCTAATTGATAAAACCAAACTATCATGTTATACTCCCCCCCTACTGATGCAGCACTACAGGTTCTTTAGAAACTAACCCTCTTTAGTCTAAAAGAAATATTCTTTCAAGGAAAAAAAATTTTTGCATTATTGTCTCAAGGTCATCTTTACAGGGCAAGTAGTCTGTTTCTACAAGTGTGACTTGAGTCGAAAGCCATTTTTGTGTTGAAGAATAGTGATCCCTACATTTCTCAACCAATATTCATAGAGGAACACCAATGCATGCTGACTTAGGTACATGCAATGAGTTAACTGTTGTAACTTGCCTTCCTCATTTCCTCCTCATACTCTTTACGTAGTTCCCCATCCTTGGATAAGGTGCGTTTCACTGGTGGCATATCTGTACCAGTGAAATTGAAAAAAAAAATACAATTTATGACAGAAAAAAAAATGCAGGCTATGAGTGGTCAACACCATTGCAGAATCAAGTTGTACCCCTTGTGAACAGATTGCAATCTTTCCCAAACCCCCCACCCCCCCCCCCACCCCTCCATTTTTCTTTCTCTCCGGAAAACGGATTATAGAATACCTGAATCACTTAATACCAGTGAGTATTGAACAGATTTAGAGAAAAAAGCATAGTCTCAAGATTTATTAATGGGTTCAACGAATAATCTCTCCCATCATAATAATCTTTGTGCTGCATTCTACTAATGTTGCGCGAGCTAATTAGTGGACAAAAATAAACCTTTATACGTAAATTTTATCTTTTTTTTGTGCCTTAACTGTTATACTGGGACCTCGATAGTGTTGAATTTCAAAGTTTTGTTAATGTTGTCGACGAAAGCATTAGCGTAATAAAACTCAAACAACAAGGTTTTCTAACCAAAGATATCGTCATCATCTTCACCACGTAACCTTTTGCGACATTTCTCTGGGAAGAGCTGCTGAATTTGTTGCCATCGTGCTACATTAACCAGTGTCCCATTTCGCGAATTTCTTCTCGCCCAACTTGAAATCCTCATTCGACAGAGAGGGCAAAGGAAATTCGCCTCCTCCACATTTTGCTTGAAGCACGGCCAACACAGCTCGTGTTCGCAAGGCATTACTACAGGTTCGATAAGTATTTGCAAACATATGGGGCACGTGAAGTCTGAGGAAGAATTGGAGATTACATTTTCTTCACATGATTTTCGTTTTTCTTGCTTCTTAGGGATAACGACTTTGTTCAAGGAAGCTCCGTCGTTCTCTTCGCCGGCCGCCATCTTGGATTTCAATTAAATGTATGCTCATATTTTCGAAATTTATTTTGGCGCGAAAACGAACCATTGACTTAGATCAGCACAGATCCAAGTCCAAATTCTCCTCTCATGACGGCGTAGTGAAGAGAAGATTGTGGCCCTTCATTTATTCACTATTCTTAAGAATTTTTTTCCAATATAATTTAATTTATAGGAGATTATTGAGCCTAGAAATTTACAATCTGCGTGGTTCATTTTATTTTCCTTTCTTTTTTTGTGGCTGTTTCTATTCTAAATTGAGAAACGCGCAAGCGTCAACTGGCGGGAAAATGGAAATGGTGTTAGTGGCGGGAAAAGTGGCGTGCGCCATTCCTTCCTAAAGCTGAAAGAGCTTCAACATTTTGTTATTCGTTTGCTGTATATTCTAAGAAATTTTGACACTCTATTCCTCATTTCCCGTGTTTTCCGTTTCAACACTGGGACAAGAAATACCCCTACTGTTATAGTGAAAGATGCCATCAACAGAAGTTGACACGTCATCCACAACTCCCGTGCAGCCGGAGAAAGAGGTGGAGAAGTTCCAAGAGACGGAAGAATCAAACTGCGGAGGAAAACATTGCAAAGATACGAAGACTGAAACGATCAAGAAGACCACAGGGGAATCGGAAAAGACGGAAAAAGAGAAGTTTCTGGAAACTGAAAGCAAAGACGATGTGAACACTCCGCCAGGAACTAAAGAGGAAACTGATTGCAACATGGAAGAAAAACTCGCGGAGACGAAGGAAAACAGGGCTGAAAACTCCAAACGAAAGTCGAAAGAGTCAAGTAACGAAACAAAGGAAGAGAAAAGTCCTCCCAAGAAAAGGAAGTCTTCTTGAAACATCAGACGAGACGGCGGTAATGTTGTTTGGGTTTTGTACTGGAATTTCACTGGACTGCTCCTTTTCTGCCATTTGATTGTTTGCGCCGTTGTTTGAACGAGTTTTCTACGGGCTGACAGGAAAAGTGGGCGTCAGGAATTACGACACTATAGAAAATTTTACTCTTTTGAGTGATTTTAAATCCGTTTAACCTCAATAAGATTGCAATCAAAGCGTTTTAATTAAAATTCAGTAAATCTAAGATTCTACGTCAAAGTGGATTGAGAAAATTCAGATCTTATTATATGATATTTGTAAGAAGCAGATCTTGTTTTTCAGCTTGATATGTGTGTATTTACAACTTTGTTTCCGTTTTAGTGATACCTTCTTCAAAAAGGAATGTGTCTTGTTTTCCCGCAAAGATTTCGACGTAACGAATTCCTTGAAATCAGTCGCGATATTATAAGCTCCTCCTCCACTCAAAATGTAATAAGTGCCTCACTTATCAGCTGACTCTTAAGTTTATATTAAGTGCGATTTTAATTCAACCCTCCACAAATAATCAAACGAGAGAGAACACTGAAACAACACATCTGAGAAAATCTGCTTCAGTGACCGGAAGTAAATCTTTTCCACATTTCAGCTATGGTTACGCAACCATTAATTGACTTATAAAATTCCCTAACTGACTTTCAGCAAATTTCAAATCTTTATGAATCGGAGTTGAATTATATACTATTGCTTTCCGCTTGTAGATGACAACAAATCTGTTTTCGTAAATGGCGATGTCTGGTTTTGATTTGAGCCAAATATTGAAGTAAATGATTTCGTGAGCTGAGAAACTTTCTCATCGTATTTTTAGAAAGGCAGAAATGGAAAATTCTGGCTCGTTCTCCTGTCGGCACGTGCCAGCCTGTATGTCGAACAACTAATGATAAGGTTTATCCGAAACAGACCTCACTATTTATCTTCCAAGGGAAAAGATTTGATGTTATCACAACTGGATGATTTACGTTTTCTTTGAGATTGAGAATATGATTAATGGAGAGGTCGTGCTTCTCGCTTTTAAGCATGAACTCTTATGTCCTTCATCTACTTGGGAAGAACAACGAAAAGTGTCATATTCCACAGTTTGCTTCGGGTTCCTAAATGTCTGTAAGGGAAGATAAATAATTTTTTAGCCAATGCAAACATGGATAGTACATTATGGATAATTCAAGTTTCAGTTGTTGTTGTTCATCTTAAAAACTCGTCATAACTAAATTAAATTCACAAAGAAGTTATTAAGCAAGGATTTAGAGTAAACCTCTCTAGCTAAAAGAGCTGAAAAGAGTAAGTTGTTAAGATTACTGAATGCTAAGTCGGGAAACCTTAAACCGGAATTTACGATCACTCCCTCCCTGTGCCGCACCACATTCCACCCCCGTTCGCCCAATAAAATATTTCTTCTCTATTCTCTGTTATTAGTCAAAGGCGCCGCGCAGCTGTTTCGCTCATCGCTTAGTCATGATTGACTGTTTGCATTGTTTCGATTAATTACCGTTGAACGAATATGGAAAGAGTTCTGCGGATACACCCATTACACTCAATACCTTGTAAACTATATCTTCTCTGTTGCGCAGACGAATGACCTTTTAAGACATGAAAACGCATTTTAAAGTGAAGTCGCTATTATTTTGTGTATCTTAGTTCCTCACGTAGCTGACATACGTGAAAGTTAGGCTCTTTGAAACAATTCAATATCCTAACAAGCGGCGCAAAATGGGTTCTTTTCACAAGATTCACGTGGTTTGTTTATTGAGTTTTATTTTGAAAGCTTGGCATGCCGAATGCGACACTCAGCAATTGTCTTGTTCAGTAGAACAGCTTGGAGCGAACGCCCAATGGAATCCGCAAGTTCCTGACAAAGGTTAGAAGTGGAAGACTCCAATATTTCACGAGTGGTCGAGTGTTTATCGAACTTACTCTGACACAATTTATCTTTGACAGGGAAGGAGCCGCAAGTTTGTGTTAGTCACACGAAAAAAACGTGCTGTACAAGACAAACGGAAGCATCTCTTCGCATTAAAGCTGCGAAGAATATCAAGACTCAATTGCAAACTAAATATATGGCTGCAAAGAAAACCATGTTATCGCTTTTTGACGATTTGAAAGGTAAGCCATCGATCCACAGTTCGTTGAACTATTTTTTAAGTTGATGAAAAGCACTCTATCATTTGCTTTGTATAAACAAATTCTTCAGGCTACTTGAGTGCTCGCAACTGCCTTGGGATTTGCGGTTCGGTTAGTTATTGTAGCCAAAAGTAGAAAGAAAGAGCAGATCATACTCTAACAAAAAACTCGGGCTCTCTCGAGGTATTCTAAACAATGCTATGCCTAATCAATTGCTCTTCACGCCGATTTCCTATAGGGGTATTGTAATAATGAGGTACTTGAGCATTTTAGCTTATGGCTCAAACATGCTCGGAATTGTTCCTTTTTCTTTTTCCTGTCTCAAGTGCGTTAATATGCTTAAAATCGTAAACTTAGAACTTTTTTTTATCAGTCTACTCTTCCTTAATTTAATATTTAATATTGAGTACAATTTTCTGACACCTCATGATTTAATTTTCTATTCCTCGATGTTTCTTAAAACAATTCAACAAACGCATAACGCATGATGGATTTTGAATAGTTAGGAACCTAAGCGCTGCACTCTGAATGTGATTTAAACACAGAAAACGGACTTATAGTCTGGATATTTCGATTGCGAAGGAATTGGATTTTGCCAGGCTAAAGCGTGTTTCTGGCCTTTAATATAAAATATCAATGCAATAACTCCTTTGTTGTTGATATTTGTGTTGAAATCTTAATTATAATATATTCCACGAGAATGGTAGAAAAATTGTCATTTTCCAGAAGACCTCCCAGCGCACACATTTATCATGAACAATTCAGCTATCGAAGAATAAATCATGCTCTTGTTACTTAATCTAGCGATGAAATCTAGCATAGAAGTTGGGTTATGCAAATTATGACAGTAGAGCCTGAGAAGACTCGAAAACAATAACAAAACTAGCATGACCTAAACTTTGTTCATCTGTGTTCGTGATCGCGTGTTTCTAAAGCATTTTAAAAATTCTCCTGCGCTTTGAAGGTTGTCTTTATCTTCGTAGTCGCATCAGAGCCGCCTGCGGGCATGACAATTCCGATCTCATATGTTTGACGTTCTAAATTAATGAACGGATATAAATCGTCAGAAATTTGAAGCCCCTCTCTGACCCAGCGGGAGCTTTTTTGAAATAGGGAGACACGATGCACCATACAGAGTCGCTATAAAGTGAAACACATCTGAACCAAACCATTTGTCTTTTTTTTTTTTGGATCTGAAATGAATCTTACGGCGCCTTTCCTTTTCGTTCTCTACGTTTAAGAAAAGTAAATATGCAAATTTTGGTACAAGTGACAAAAGATCTGGAACGTATTAAACCAATTTCTTTTATGTAAATAATGCAAAGCCAAGAACCTTATTGTCTGCTGATATTACTGATTGTTTACCACAAGTAGGTGCTGGCTTTTTGTTTTGCATCTGAAGTGCTATTGACTTAAAAACCAACTGGTTGCAGTATTTTGATTTTCTTCAATATTAAAACAGAAGTCATACTGTTTAAAGTTTGGAAACTTTTCTTTAGTTACTGATGTATCACTCGAGCTACCTTGATTTTATTTATAGAGTATTCTGCAAACAACCTCTTCAGTTAGAAGTTCATAATGTTAATTTGCCCTTTGCGGATTGGTATGAATTAAACAATAGAGTGCGAGTTTGCCTTGACCCTCTGAATGTAAGATAATGCATTGATAAAATTCTAACCCCAGAGATTTTTTTTTAAATAGTGGAATAGTGCATTAAATTGTTGTGAAAGTTTGACCCAATTTTCATCAGGATGTTACTGTTTATCATTGTTTTTTTTTCAATTTTGTTTTAATTTAAAGTTGAGTTTGAATTTTTGTTTTACCAAATATTTTTATTATACAAAAAAATTCAACAAATATATTCTATTTTTCCACTTCATTTATTTGAAATTACATTTTGTTTTATTTCTAGGGCATTTTCATAGTCTCATGGAAGAAAGTAACAGACAGAGTATTACCTTTTTACTGGGTAAACAACCAAATCTTACTGCAGATGAAGTCATTGCAGTATCTAAGTTATTCAAAGACCTTGAAAACTATTTGGCTGAGGATAAACAAGAACTAGAAGACATTGTGAATGCATTCTTTCGCAGTTCTTTTCCAATGCTGTTAAGATATTTCAATCCAGAAGGAAAGACTCTCTCAGCAAAGTATAAAAGTTGTTTAAAAGATAACATGGATATAATTAAACCATTCGGTACTCGCCAAGCAGAGTTACTTGGTAAGTTTGAGGAGGTTTTTGAGCCGGTGGGAAGCCTCTTCAAAGGCCTGAAATTTGGAGTAGAGGTATTAAGCTTGGCACAACAGTTCAACTTCACAGATGGATGCAAAAATGGTCTTTTGGAGATGAAATTTTGTTCATTATGCCAGGGTCTTACCCAAGTGAAGCCATGTTATGAGTTTTGTATGGATACAACAAGAAAATGTCTGCTCTCTGAAGCTCAACTTCAAAGAAAGTGGGGCCAGTTAATAGACACTGTTCTCTCACTGGCTAAAAACATTGGAAACTCAAATTTGGAGAACTTTTTAAACTCTGTTCATACAGACTTATGGCATGCTGCCACCTTTATGTTACTACAGAAGGCTAATTTAATGCCGCAGGTAAGGTTACATAATTAAAGAATCTAATATCCAGGACCTAGAAAATGTAGTCACCTAATGGTTAGTGTGCTGGACTCCAGGTGAAGGGGTCTGGACACGAGCCCTAGTTGGGTCACTGTGTTGTGTTCCTGGGCAAGATACTTTACTCTCACAGAGCCTCTCTCCACCCTGGAGTGTAGAGGGAAACCTGACTAATTGCTGGGGGGAAGGGGATTGGTAACCTTGTATTAGACTAGCATCTTATCAAGGGATAGTAGGAATTCTCCTGGTCTGTTCTGCTTTGGAAGACATGTTTGGGAAAATAAGTTAGCCAGGCAAGAGAAATGTTAACAGTAGGAAATAACACTAATTTGTGCGTGATTTTGTGGTTTGCTTTCATTTCCTCAAGCAAAACATTTTACTTTATTTACAGTGCCTCTCTCTACCTAGGAGTATAAATGGTTACCCACAAATTGTCAGGGAAGCCTGATGAAATTGGAGGGGGGATAACCTTGTGATTGATTGGCATCCCATCCAGGGGGGAGTATTTATACTCCTTGTTGCTTTATGCTATGGAAACTAGCCTAAGGATAAGCCACTTATCTCAAGCATAGACTTAATGTTTTATTTACTGATCTCCTATGTGGTTGGTAATAACACAGTAAGAATTGCAGCTATATTTTCAAGGTATTAATGGTTTTCTGAGACTGATGGTCAGTAAACTTGTTAAAATGGTTTTGCTAAAATTATTGTTTTGCTTCATGTTCTTAAAAACAGTTACTCATATCAATATTGTTAACAGGTTTTGAAGGAGTGTGGCGAACCTTCCTACAGTGATGCAAAGACTTCTCCTTATAAAGAATCTGTTTCACCAACTCCTCATGTCAAAGAGCGACTCTTTGCTAAAATGGATGCTGTTCATAGGCAGCTGAATGCTCTCAGCTCATTCTTCCACGATTTAGCTCAAGAGTTTTGTGTAGTTGATGGTCTTGCTTCACAAAAGGAAAACATTGACAACTGTTGGAATGGAACATTTGTAGCAAGGTAAAGACGAGTCATTGGTAATTCAATTTGGAACCTACTATTCGTGACTCTTTGTTTTCCTGTGCTGCACCAGGGGTTGGGCATGCAATACCACTCAACATAAAGAGTTTAAACATTTTAAGAGCCTAGTTAAAATCTCACCTTATTTGTTTGGAATTTTGATCAGATAGCTTTTCATTATAATCAAGATTTTTCGATTTTGTATTAAATTTTCACTGCAATTTTAATTTGTCCTTCTCTTTACATCTTTAAATTTATTTCATCCCTCAAAATTGCCCTCATTTAAAATTTTCAAAACCTTTTTTTGCCAGTATGATTGGTCTGTATAGGTTCATAGACCATTTCCTCAACAAAAACACATACAATTGGTTGTTAATTGAATACATTTAGGTTTTTTCCCTTCACAAATTATATTCTCTGTTAATATCATTTTCTACAGGTATGAGCCAAAGCAAGGTGATTCATCTTTGTCACTAGAGAGTAAAAACCACTTGACATTTCTTGAGAGGAAGATTCATGGCCAGGTTAAAATGATGGAAAAGTATACTATCACAAGAGATGATGATGATGATGATGAACTTGATGGAAGTGGTAGTGGCAGTGGAAGTGGTGACAAAAATAGTAATCAGCTTTTATATTTATTAGGGTTGAAAGGGCAACTTGGAATTATAATTGATTCCAATGGAAAAAAAATTGTAAAATATTAAATACCATAGTTATTCGGTTATAGGGCGCACCGTTTTTTTCAAGAAATTCCTAATTTCTACTAAAAATTACCGCCAAAGTTTGGGTGCATCTTATAGGCGAATATTTTTCCGAAACAATTTTTTTTATCACAGTTACTGGTACGATTTCAAGCAAATAAAAGGACACAGTGTTGGTCATTGACTTTTATAAATATGGTGGTTCTAAAAAGACCAGCGAAGTCAAATTTGCATAGATATGATACGTGCTCAGTAATTTTTTTGTTTGTGCGCGTGGTCGCGTGTGCGACAATTCTGCTTTTGTTAATTAATGGTAAATTAAAATCAATACGCGACTTTTTCGCTTTTTTGTAAGTTTATAAAAGAATTTACAATAAACTTGACCGATCTTTACTCCCCAAACAACGGTGCGCCTTATAACCAAGTATTTTAGCGATATTTTCAGTTTGAAAACATGCAATAATGAAGTTGCTGAATTGGGGGTGCATCCTATAGCCGAGTGCGCCTTATAACCGAATAACTACGGTAATGCAATAAAGTGCAGAGCATATTGCTTTTCTTTGAAGAAAGAAGTATGGTTAGCAGGTGACATCTGAACAAGAAAGAAACACAATTTTATAGAAGAAAAGAAGGTAGCATGACTACTATGATGATGATGATGATGAGGACTTCAGATAAAAAAGAACTTATGATTAAATTATAAACATTTCATCTCCCTACATGACAGCCAAATACAAGTTGCCAAATGTGCATCTTATGCTTCAAATTCAGTTGCTATGGTGACCGAAATGGTTACAGCTTGCAGTGCTGCTTGTCTGAAATTTCAAAAATTAGATGTGAATGAAATCTGGCAGCTAACTGGTTGCTTGTTTAATTGTTGGTACTGCGTTGCAAAGGAATGAAAGTTAAAGTATCAAAGACTCAAAAAGGATGTCAGGATGTACTCTAATTATGCTGGTGTCATTCTAATTAGCACAAATTTTCTTTATTTATGTTTATTTATGCTTCATAATTAGGAAACAAAATCAGTGAAAGTGGCTGTGGTGAAGATGATGAGGACTGTGGTAGCACATCAAGCGGAGAAAACAATAACATCGTTGATTTTGAAAGGGGTATGAAGATTTCTATTCAGCTTTATGTTTTCTTACCAATGCATCAATATTTCAAAAGGTCCACTCATTTGGTTATGTTTAAGCTCCAACACATGAGAACATGTCAATACTTAGTTCATGAAACTTATCATTCCAGTCTCAAAGACAGTTTTAGGCACAGGTCTGGGAGAGATCCTTTTAAAAAGATTCTTGGAGGAGTTTGTTTGGTCTTTAAGTTGGATGTCATCCCTAAGAATTTAGAAACTGACAGGGAATAATTTTTGTTCTTTAGTTTAAAAGTAGGCAACATTCGGTTATTGTGATCCCAATATACATTGAAACCTTTGGGTTGTTTTTATTTTTTACAGAAAATGACTTTGATTTCATTACGACACCTTCGTCAATCAAAAGCTCTGGCAATGAAGTCCTAGGTGGGGGTTTTGACCCTACATCAACTCGCAAGTCTGGTGATGTGCTAGCTCAGGGTAATTCATCGTCATCTCTTGCTGTCACATGGCTACAGTTTTTTACTCTACTTCTGTTGGTATGGCTCACGAGAGGATAGAAACATCTCAGCAGTCACTCTGACCTCAAATGGAATTGAAACAACAAGAAATTGGTCCTCCACCAGAGTTTTCTCTCAAAGACAATAGATAGAAGTGTAAGGCTTAGTTCAAAGTCTTTCCAAATTGTTGTATAAAACAAAGTGTAACTAACCTTTCCAGAGCCTCTGTTGTTGGCAAAGAGAGAGAGATCAAAAGAAAATATTGTCTGTGGACTTCTATGGGTCATTTTTTTAGATTGCACACTAATATGATGATTTGTTCATGTTCAGTATTCATTCAAAAGTCATTCATGGAGAGATGGTGAATTGTGTGGCTTAGAAGTTTGCAGACACTTGTTTTTCTCTTTCCTTGCCCCTTGTGTTCATGTTTTTTACTTTCCATGAGGCTCTTTTCTCACCAGACAACAATTTTAAGGGAAAGAAAGGTCGATGATAAAGGCCCTCGTGTAATAGCTAGTAGATTGATTTTTTTTCTTTTAAATCTGAACTTGTTATTAGCTTGTACATGGTAACTTGGAAGATTACAATATGCTGCTGCTTTTAGAAGAAAATGCAATTGCTTGAGTATCACAGAAGCCAATTGAAAACAATATAATTGTAACAGCTGATCAGAACAAAGATCCTGGTAATACCAGAAGTTTTGAAATGTTGGATTAAGTTTGGGTTTATTTGCATCTGATTAGCCAAAGGGTTGAGGAGGTGGTGGAACCAAACATTTGAGAGTCAGTGCATCCCAAGATTACTTTTGACGCTCTCAATTAAATTCAGAAAGGACTGACTTTGAAAGAATAATTGTTAGATTGCACATGGAGAAAAGTTATTTGATTTCAAGTTCTAGTCAGCTGACCTATTATGAGCTAGTTACACCTAGGGCAAGTAGTGATTGTCTTTTGGTTTGGGAAAAGAATAGCTTGAAACTAAGGGGGAGGCACTTTGTTTGAGGGAAGGACAGAGAAATGGAGACCTGCCATCATGCGAGACTATAGTTCCTAAGTCCATCACAGAATATGACTAAAGTTAAGCATTGACTTGTATACTACTGTAACAAAGTTATAAGGCAGTTTATTTATTTTTCCAATTGAGACTTTCCATGGAAAATTTGCAAAAAAAACTTAGTGGAAATTTAGTGGAAACAGCTGCTAGAATTAATAAAATCACAGTAGTAATGATTCTTTAATAATGATAATTTATTAAAAGGTATTATTATAATTAATAGTGATCAGTTCAAGTTGCTTAGCTCATAGCAAAGTTTTCTCTGAGTCTTAGAGAATTTTGTTATCATTAAGGTTTATTTTCTATTTCAGTAGAGATGTATGATAGATGATGTAGTCTGTGGCAATTAAGTAGGTAAGATAAGAGAGTGCAGTTTTCATAGCCTTTTTGAAAGTGTGAAACCATCATGCAGTTGAATTAACCTTGTAGATATGTAAAGTTAAAGGCCTGATCATATTGCTCAAGCCTGAATTACCCAGCTTACTTGGCTCTATTTTTTGTTAAGACTACAAGTTACAAGCTGAAAAAGTACTTGTTAGTATATATTTCAGTCTAAAATGTTAAGTTAAATTGTGATGTAAGGATTCAGGCTATTGAATGAAAGCTTCTCATTTAGCCATATCAGTTTTTTGACTGAAAAATTCCCAGTCTTACTTTAAATTGCTTCAAATTCGCTCCTTCACCAGCTAATTATTAGCAAAGTATTTACACAGTTTCATGATTAAGTACAATTAGTATTAGAAACTATACTTTTTAATACATACATTGATAAATTTACAGCCAATGTGTTTGCAAGCTCAAAGCGTAATTTTTATTAAGAAAAAAAGGCATTTGACATGGCACCAAATTCTTCTTAAGGTGTACATATGATAAAGTAGAATCATTGATTATAGTTATGAATGATTATTAATAAAAGTAATTATGCCAGAAACGATGCTTTGTAAATAATTGTTCCGTTGTCTGCAGTGAGCTATGAAGATAATACAACTTCTGGCTATCATATTGAACATCCAGTACATCAGTCAGGGGAGAGAATTTTAACAATCTTTAAGAAGTTAAAATGCGTGGGGAGGTGGGGGTGTTTGAAGCTTCAATGAATGGATACATTGTCATCACTTAGAATTTTCCAAGGCTACAAGCAGGATTAAAGTATGCCTACAAGCTTATCCAGCTAAGATGTATTATACAGGTCATTTAGCAAAACCACAGTTTGCATTGCATCTTCTTCTTGATGGAGGTATTCAGAAACAATCCAGTGAGGGTAGAACATTCATTTTCATTGTCTCTCTCAAACACATTGCTGATTCCTATTGAGGATGTAGCTTTATCCCATGATAGAGGCCTGCTTCATAACACATCTTGAGAATGTATTACTTCAGTTAGCAGGAATCAGACCAAAGTGTTCATTTGTTGTTGTCTACGTTGCCTACAAGCTCAAAATTTGGTTGATCAACTACAATGGTTTAAGATATTTTTAATCAAGATGTGGACAATCCCCTTGGACTACCAAAAACCCATCTCATGTAAAAACAATTCTTTCATGAAAAGTCTAACAAACTGCAAGTGATATGTTGACTCCAAAATTGGAAGTCATTTTTATTTGAAATCTGTTGTATATTACTAGTTATATTGTCTCTGCATACAGTAATTTCCCTTACAAGAAATTGATAATGAAACACCAAGTTAACAACTGTGTCACAGGATAATTATTTTGTACTGAACATTGATAGAAAAAAAAACATACTAGTGGAACACTGAAAGAAGGAAAAGCAACTTTGGTGTGTGAATCCACTTTTGAAAATATAAATTTATCTAACCACAATAATGAACATACTTCAAACAGAAAATTTCCCTTCAATTTCAATAAGTCATCAGATGATTTCTTTACAAGTTAAAAATTGTGACAAATCCAAGACCAGGAAGAATTTCTACAGAAGATCATATCAAATATCATTAAAAAAAAAAAAAACCAAGCCCATGAGGAGCTCTTAATCACATACCAAGACTTCTCTTTTAGTAGTCTATTAAATGCCCATTGTTAAAAAACACAAATGGTACCAGTATTAATTCATACAAGTTACAAAGTGATCAAAATATAAATTTTTTCCTTTCTCTATAAAAGTACAGTTTAAACAGTGGTCATAACAATTTAACTCCTGCTTCTGAGCAGTTCAGTACATAGTGGTATTCACCTTAGCTTCTAAGTCTTTCACTTCCTAGATCTCCTCACTAATTCTCCTTACTCTCTGCAATACAATTTGGATGTAAGGAGAGATTCTGTCTTGGTCATTCATGGGGGTTAAAGAGTTAAGACAAACATGAATAATAGTAATGAACTCAAAAGGTGGAAATTAGTCACTGATTCTATTCAAACAAGTTTGAACCACTGAAGGATTACATCCCTCTCACTAAGAGCGCCTTTGAATTGAGTATTACAAAACCACAAAAAAACACAATCACAACAGCCCATAAGAATAATAGGGAAGTATACAAAAGCTTGTGAGAGCTCAAATGAAAAAGAAACTCTCAATTTCAACTGTGGGAGAATACTAATGAAAAATCATGATTAGGTTAGTTTTGCGTTCTATTTGTTGAAACCACTCAATCAATTTTCTGGATCTAACCAAACGCTATGCCAATTACAATTAAAGCAATCCATGATTACTTTTAAAACTCATTCACAAATTGCACTTGTGTTATTTTTAAAAAGCCTACTATTGACAAGATAACTTGTTCATTCAAGGAAGGAGTGAAGAAAATGTGAGGCTTTCACATTTTTCACAACCAACCACTTTACCCAATGCATTACCAGTCTTAAAGTTACTTGCACTTATCTCTAAGTGCCTGTGACATAGATTTACAAACTACTTCTTTTCTATATTCTGGTTGTTGATAATTAAATTTGGAGCACTTCCTCTCTTGACAAGCTTAATGACATTTCAAGTTCAGCCAGTGTCTAATAAAGCTCTAAAAGTATAAGCAAATGGCACACTATGTCCAATAAAGCAGTTTTAAAAAAATTTGAGCACAAAGCTCCCTCTTTTACAAAATCCAAACAAATACTATACGAGATGACACTTGAAGCCTTTCCATCTAACTCCAATCAACATTGGGCACCAAAGTGCCACAAAAGAGGGGTCAATTGTATATACAATTTCTGTCAAGTCTTAATACCATAGACTATTTGTAAGAGCTTATGATAACTGTAGCAAACTGAAGTTCATTTTGAGCAGGAATTTGAAGTGAAAAAACAACTACTGATTTTTCAAATAGTTGTGCAAACTTAAAACTTTACAAATCAATTAATTAACATTCATTCCAGTCATGTTTTGTAAAAATAAATTCCCATATTCACAAATAAAAAGCTTGATATTTTTCATTCATAGTCTAGCTTGTTTCTTGCACAGTTTGAGATGATAGCTGGATTGAAATTTTTGCACTGAATAACATGGACAATGCCTTGATGACCAGTATCAAAACTAAATAATCTTTTCAAAGAAACTGAGTGCAGACAATCCATTCCGTACTGTACAGTATGATGCAAATGTTTTGTGTTGTAGTAAATGACAGGAATCCCACTTCCATTAATACCATTATGGTACAAGTGAAGAACACAACAATAAAATTGCTGAATAGAACAACCATGCTCCAACTACAGTTTGTGAAGCAGAGTTCCTTGATTGTCCTTGAGTGTTTCCACCCACCCCTCCCCCAACAACATTATCATCATTGTCAAGGCCATCAACCCCATTGATGGGGTCTGTAGGTGGTGCATCTGTGCCAATTGGTATTTCATTTGTTCCACTGCCTCCACTACCTCCACTTCCATCACCACTCCCACTTCCTGATTCATCATCATCCTCATTGTCTGTGGTGACGATATTTATTTCATCCCCATACACTGCAGCATTGGAATATTCCTCAATCATTTTCACAATGTTTTTCAATTTTTCACTAGCTTTTAACACAGATGGTGCTTGGTTTTCTTCGATGGCATTCTCTCCATCATCAGGGCTTGAGTAACTTTGAAAAAGAAAACAGATATTTTGTTCATGAGTTGTTAACCCTTTAACTCCCAAGATTTCATGATTAATTCTCCTTACTCTCTGCCATACAATTTATGTGATTTTAGTTTGGAGAATTTGGAATTGGATCAAGCAATAATCCCCTAATTGATATGTTTCTTTATTCTCTTTACTTGTCTACTTGATATTGTACTGATAATGTAAGGAGCAAACATTTCACTCTTAAGATCTCATTACTGATTCTCCTTCCTGTCTTCCATACAATTGTTCTGATGTTAGTTCAGAGAATTTCCTATTGGATCAACCAATGATTCTCCTATTGATATTTGTCTTAATCTTATTACTTGCTTGCTAAGAATTATATTCATATTGTAGATAGAAATTCTGTCTTGGTCACTCATTGGAGTTGAAGGGGTTAATGAAATGTTACATGATTTCAAGTCATTCTCAACTGTAGAGTCAATCTGTCGATTGACAATCACGACAATTGAACTGCTACGCTTCTGGTCTTCATCTGACCATACCTGTCTAACCATCTTGTCAGTAGCCCTACTGCCACTACCACCTTGCTAATTATATAAAAGAGATGAGATCAAGGTAACAGAACAAGAGGAAATATTTACCTTCCTTTACCAGCACCATTCCAACACTCTGAGGGGTTATTCTTTTCAGCTGCTATGTCACTACATAACATGTCTGGTAGTGAAGTCCAAAAGTTATCAGCCATTTTCATTACGGCTTTGAAGTCTGTTTTTAATCTGAGAGAGAAGAGGGAATTCCTGCTATCAAAAATGCAATCACACCTTGTGTAATCAAAATGCCCAAGGCAAGATTACATAAAGTCTTCCAAGGTAATTGAACTGACAAACGTTTCTTCAAGACAGAACTCTTTGTACCATTTCATGCTGCACCCTTATTCATAACTACAAGCGTTTTCAGTATTAAATTCCAAAGTCCTAAAACTTGGAATATTATTGATGAATATTTCAAGTCAAGAAGCCTACATCTGTTCAAAAAGAAATTGAAGTGCTTCTATACTGACATGTATTAATTAATTTAATTCATAATTTTGATCGCCACCAAGTCTCATTAAATAGTCATCAGTTTAAATAAATTGAGTTTTTTTTGCGTGTGTCTGTATATGCTTATGAAAGCAAGTGTATAAATGTGTGTGGGCTTTACTACCGAAGTCAATTGATTAAATTTAAAGCATTTAAGAATGTAGGATATCCCACTCCGACAAGCCCTTCTTTTTTTAGGATATCCTGCACCCTTATTTATTAAATTTACTTCAGATCTGTATTCAACTTAATAAAGTTTGTAAATAGTGGTTCAAAATGAAGACACAACAGCTTCCTCACTGTTCAACTAACATCACCCTTCTAGTCCAAAAACGGAGATGGCACATTTCTAAACTTACGATTCCAAGGTGACATCTGCTGATTTTTTGGGTAAAGCAGCATCATTTTCTCTTCTTTGTCGATTGTTTCCTTCAAGGAAAAAGTCATCTGTTGATCTCTTAGTTAATTCAGGGTTACCACATACTTGGAATACCTGAGAAAGTTTAGAATAGCAAGCATGTAAAACTCAGCATCAAAGACATGTATAAATACACTGTTCTTTAAGAGCATCTCATTTCCAGGGCATGAAAATGATGTTTAATCAACTAAGTTTGGGAATCCAAGGCTTCCTTTTTCAGCATATGGTGACAGGATATTTATTGAGAAACAGAATTACACTAAAGAAGATCATAAACACTTGTATCAAAGAAAAAGGCACACAGACCAAAAAAAGACACAAAAGAAAAAAACTGAAAAAAAAAAGGAGAAATTTCAGAATACCCCTCAAAATTCCCTTGTCACTTAAATCTGAGACTGATTGATAAATCTTCATTCAATTTCAAAGG